GAATTTCTTCTAGAATTTTTCATACCATCGATCATTACGGCATTTAGTATTTCCAAATTTGGTAAAATACTTGACTGTAATATTTTTTAAAAATGCCCAAAGAAAATAAAAGAAGACGAGAAACTCAACATGGAAATGCATTGGCTGGGTAAAGTGTTTTAAGGATGGTGGTGGTTATTGCCCACCACTTGTTGTTACTCTAGTTATTAATTAATTTACTAAATTTGTCAAATTTATGTTATATTGTCGAAATCCAAATCATGATGTTGTTGTTGCAGATGTTGTAAGTTTAAAAATGTACAAGCTTCAATCTTTAAAAAAAAAATTTGAATTAAATATATCTAAATTATTTTGTTCAGGATGATTTCATCAACATTTTGGACAGAATTTCAAGGACTGCAACATAACCATTTTAATAAACATTTTTGATCAAGACAATAATGGATTTATTAACTCTCTAAAAATCATTTTAAATACAATGGAGACAAAAATAGTATTCATTAAACAAACAAATAAATATATTTATTTCCATTTTGTTTTTTATTTAATAGAAACTAAAATTTAAATTACATTATAGGATGGTGGTGTCAACTATTATCAAATTAATGCTGGAATGGTTACGACTAATAATCAGTTAATAAATCCCATTGCAAGTTATAACCAATATATCGATGATTTACATGGTGATTTTAACAACAACAACACTCTTGACATTTGTCCAACGATTTTAAACACAAATAACAATAATAATAGTAGTAGTAATGGTAATGATAGTAATATAAATCATGACAATGATAATAATTCAACTACTACCACCATGAATCAGGGTTGGCAAATTGACTGGTCCATTGAGAACAGATGGATTTTGGACTGGTCCATCACCATTAATAAAATACTAAATATGGTTAAAGTGTTATACTAATGGACCCAATAGACCACCAATAGACCATCAATGGACCACACATTTGCCAACCCTGCCATGAATCAAACAAATAATGCTGGTATGGCTACAACTAATACTAATAATCAGTTAATAAGTCCCATTGCAAGTGATAACCAATATATTGATGATTTACATGGTGATTTTGACAACAACAACACTCTTGACATTTTTCCAATGATTTTAAACACAAATAACAATAATAATAGTAGTAGTAATGGTAATGATAGTAATATGAATCATGATAATGATAATAATTCAACTACACTACCATGAATCAAACAAGTAATGCTGGAATGGCTACAACTAATACTAATAATCAGTTAATAAATTCTGTTGCAAGTGATAACCAATATATTGATGATTTACATGGTGATTTTGACAACAACACTCTTAGTAATAATATCAATAATGAAGAAGATAATAATATCAATAATAACGATATAGAAGTTGAAATCAGATATGAATTTTTGATTCCAAGATCACAGTTTAGAAGGGAGTTTGATCAAATTACAAGTGAGTTCTGGCCAGATTTAAGATTCCACACTTCTGTTATAGATCATTTTCACCAAACAGGAGAGACCGTCCTATATAAGGAATGGATTTTCACAATTGATTTCAATTTTTTTTATATATACAGTTTAAAATACTTTTACAAGGGTATCATGTAGCCCATTCTTGCAATAAATCATGTGTAAATAATTACACAAACTTGAAGCTTTACACTTTGTTGTTATCATATCTTTTG